GATCTCTGTGAGATTGAGGCCAGCCTGGTCTACATAGTGAGTTCTAGGCCAGCTGGGGCTACAGGGAGACACTGTCTCAAAAAGATAAATAAATAAATAAATAAATAAATAAATAAATTTAAAAATTGCACTTTTCCTACCATGCATCACTGTTATTTTGTGTTTACCAATGAGCACTAAGACTTCCAGCAACTGCTAGTACATGCACCTACCTTTCAGGGCAGCAAAGCATGGAGAACTTGAGCATATGCTTGCCCACAGCATCCTCCAGTAAAGAGTCATTCAACATTTTGGATTCTAAATCTTAAAGCACCAGAAAAATATTTGAAATGACTCCTTATAGTACCAAGTTGAAGGAAAAAGAAAGATCGTGCTAGGTTTTGTCATTTTCTGCTTAGAGCCTTTATATCAGTACTGTAGATCTTTGCTTTAAACTGAAACCATTTCGGTTTGTTGGTTGTATAAAAAGTAGCTACCAGGAAGCCAGTCTTGATTCAACACCAAACTTTACTAGTGAGGTAGCTGTTGCTCATTACTTTTAGTTTCAGCCTTGCTGGGATTTCTGCTATTTTCCTTAATGTTTATCTTATCAGAAGGCACATTCCTGTTAGGAAGGGAAGTTGGTGAGAGCCAAGGGACCCACTATTTAAAAACTTATTTGGCTCTGCAGGCTGCTGGGGGAAGAAGTCATGAAGATTCTTATCCAGTTGTGAACCGTGCAAGCTACAATTACAACTGCCATGGATGCAATAGTGGTATGAATGTTATGAGATTAACCAACTGCTTTCTGATTGGATTTAAGGCCAGCTCCGCAAAAGGGAGCCAGGTACTGTAAATCTGTCCAAGACCCCATGGCTGGGAAGCTGTAGGCCCTAGGGAAGAATCTGCTACTACTAGTCTGCTAACTGGAAATATCAAAACTGCCTTGTGAATACATATTTCTGCACTTACACACTAGTGCAGCTCTAGTCCTCATCACAGAAGCATCTTTGTCCAATGGAGAGCAGTTAATACAGGGACAACTGAGAATGAGTGTCTGTGGAGTGCTCAGCCCTAAATGGAACATCTGTGTTACATCTTCCCATCATGGTTCAGGGAATGTTGCCAAATAAGGGGTAGAAAGATTCTAAGAGCCAGAGGTAGGGAGAACTAGGTGACACAACAGTACCTTCCAGACACAGTAAGACTGACTATTGCACTCATGAACTCACAGCAGCTGGAGCTGCCTGCATAAGATCGGTACAAGCTCAGTCTAGTCAACATGTCAGCATGGATTGAACTCTGGGGTTTTTTTTTTTTCAAAGAGAGATCATGAAGTTGGGAGTTATACAGAGTTGGGATCCAAGAGCAGGTCTAGGGGAGAGGAGGGATGAATATGAGTGAAATACATTGAATGAACATATGACATTCTTAAAGAATAAATAAAAATATTAAAAAACAAGATGCTGGTAAGGATGAGGGAAAAAACGATTGCACCACATACTGTGTTTAAATGCTGGAAGGAAGGAAAAGAGAGAGAGAGAGAGAGAGAGAGAGAGAGAGAGAGAGGTCTGATCTACCTTTGATGGGATAGGTCTGATAACAAAATGAACAAGTTGATGATTTGCTCTGGTCTGGAACCCGTTTGGGGACATCTGTAAGCTTGTGTACACATGTGTATAGTATTCAAATATTCAAATCACCTCCAAGTGTTTTGCCAAGAAAGGACTGAAGGTCAACTGTGAGCCACAACTTTTATAAGCATGTACCACCATGCCTGGCTCTTTTTCAGATCTCTTAGAGTGAAAAGTAAAATGATTATTGAGAATTTGGTAAAATAAACATTTTAAACCAAAATATAGATCAACATTGAGGTCTACTTGATATATGACAAGGAGGACTTGGAAGTCAGTTACAATACTATTTTCCTGATCAATTTTTAAAGTTGAGGAAGCTTATCTAGTCAGAGGATCTGGAACAATAGCTTTTGAAGCATAGCACATCCACTCTATCATTTCAATTCATGGTTTATGGAAAGGACATGGAGAAAAAGAATTAGATCTTACTGAAACTTTCTTCAGATCCTCACACTTCAGCGCAGATCCACATACAAAAGTTGTGCAGGACACGTAGCTTTTAAGTATGGTTTCTAGATCCAAAGAAGGAGGGGTCCTAGACAAGAAAGTGTGGTGGCAAAGACAGAAAAACAGTGGTTGACTTATTATACTGATTTACTACACCTCCTAATTTCCTTTTGGAAGACATCTGTATTTTATTATGAATCCATATGAATCTACAGATGGGTCTATAGGTCAGGCCTGAATAATCACAGTGATATGAAACACACACACACACACACACACACACACACACA